TTTTTTATTAGTAAATTGTTAAATTAGTGTAAATGATTTTTTATTAGTAAATTGTTAAATTAGTGTAAATGATTTTTTATTAGTAAATTGTTAAATTAGTGTAAATGATTTTTTATTAGTAAACTGTTAAATTAGTGTAAATGATTTTTTAACTTATTAGTTTAAATGAAATTTAAAGATTTGTTAAAGTTTAAATAAAAGTGGTTTAAAATTAAATTCTTTTACAACACTGTACTATCGAATACTCTAATACAGGCCTGGACAGAAATAGTGTGAGATTGCACGCTGTAACTGACCATACTTCTAGTTTGTTTTTTTTTACAGTTTGGCCATGGCTGTTTCGATGTATTAAAAAATTAAATGCAATTAAATATTTGTTGCGTTATGAATAACTTTCAATTGTTGATCTTTTTTAAAGTTTTTATTTTAAGCAAAGACTTTAAATAAAGTAAAAAATTCATTATAATAGTTGTTTAAAATAAACCTATTTTGTGTAAATTAACAAAAAATGTTATGTATAAATTTTTTTAATGTATTTTTTATGATAAATTTAAACATTTGAAACTATTTTTCTAAAAATCTTTAAATTATTATTTTTTATTAGATTTTTATTTTATTTTGTTAATTTATGAATAAGTTCAAAATTTTTTGCAACTAATAGCTAAGAGCAAGTTTAGGAACTTTTTATATAAATTATACTAGATTATTAAATAACGTTTTTTAATTATATAAGCATGTATTTTGTTGATTAAATATGAAAGTATTTTGTGATGAAACCCATCACAAAATACTTTCATATTTATTTGTTTTAAAAATCTTACGATTTTTAAAACAAATGTTTTAATTTTTGAAAGATTGTTTACTTTTAATTACAATATGAATAAGTTCAAAGTATTTTAATTATTTTTTAATTAAGTTTATTGCTATTTTAAAAAGTAGTGTTGTCATGACTTTGAAATAATGTTGTTACAACTTTGAAATAATGTTGTTACGACTTTGAAATAATGTTGTTATGACTTTGAAATAATTTGACTGTCGACTAAATTGATTAATGTATTTTTTTAAATTGACCAAAATCGACCAAAATATATTTTATAAATTGATTAATGTATTTTTTTAAATTGACCAAAATTGACCAAAATATATATATTTTTAAATTGACCAAAATATATATTTTTTTAAATTGATCAAAATATATATATTTTTAAATTGACCAAAATTGACCAAAATATATTTTATAAATTGATTAAGTTGATTAAAAGTCAATTTAGTCCATTTTTTTTTTCAAATGTGAGTTCATATTCTTTGAATAATTTTTTTTTGTTTATTATTATAATCATTTAATACTGCATGATAATTTATTTTTTTAGATGCTGTAAAATAAATAGAACTTTAACAGAGAAAAGAAAAAGCTAGACTGTAAAAAAAACTAAATTACATTCTGTTGTTATAACAAGAGCATTTATTTTTTTTGTTTTTGTAAGTAAAAAAAAAAAAAGAGCATCTTCACTATCTTTGACAAAATGGGAAATTAGCATAAATTATTTTTATAAAATTCAACGGGACATCTATTTTCTGATATTTTTATATTCATTTTTAAATAATTAATGATTATTGACAACAAATCTTCTGATGACACTTTTTCATCGCATAACAATATGTATATTAATTTTTTATGGAGTTCTTTAACTAAATAAGGACTCTTGGCTAGACAACTAAAGATTTGTTGGTGTGAGCTGCAGTTCAAGGCTCAATTGAAAAGAATTGAGGATCTAAATATGTAGTTGTGTACAACTTTTTAATTTAAAAAAAATTTTCATATCTTTGATTAAAATTTTCTTTAAATTTGATGGCAAGATTTGTATTTGTACAATTATTTGATTCACTTTCAAAGTCAAAAAAACAATCAGTTAATATATCAACAGCCAGTAATATAAATGAGCAAGTGGTATATTGTGATTTGCTCAAACCTTTTGTAAAATTATTTATTGACTCTAATAAATTAATTAGATTGCCATTGACTTCCAGTTTCCAGCTTTTTAATAATAAATCTTTATTATCTTTGTTCTCTGGCTTGATTACAATGTTTTTAATTGATCTGCTAAGTTTAGAAACTGAATGCAACATTAATCAGGCCAACAGCGATTGACCTGTTTGAAGAACAAAGTTACACATAGATTTCTCTAAATCTCTATATTGAAACTTGTAAAATATAAGTGAGAGTTTGCAAATACAGCTTTGATAGGTGACCAGTTGTTGTACAAATACCGCTTTGGTAGATTCATGACCAGTTGTTGTACATAGAAGTTTAGACTCTTTAATATTAATACAATGTTACTATACAAATGATTTGCCATTGAGCTCGTATTTTTATTGTATTTTAGCTCTTTGTTACAAATTTCATCTGGTAAAGGGTTTACCCTTCATCTAGTTTTAAGTTACTAGGTAAAGTTACCCTTCATCTTCTAGGATTAACTCTTACTTCCAATCTTTCTTCGAA